TGTTGAGGTCCGGCTAATTGTATTTCGCTACTGAGATAAGGAGTCAAGGGAGAAGTCAGTATATAGGCATTTACTGGTTAACACACAGAGAAGTTTTATTTGAACATCCAACTCGTGGCTTAGTATGTGAGCGACTAACCTACGCACGGCACGCAGGCCGGTAAACGGAAGCTTCGCAGAAGGCGCGCATGCGCATAGGGAACGTGAACATAAAAATATGTCTGACTTACTTTAACACTTTCGCCGTCTAAATATTTTTCTCATTCTTACATTCACGCAGTCCAATGCTCTCGCTATGACATAAGAAACGGTTTCGCGGCAACGCTTTTGTAAAAATATCCGCGCGTTGAGTTTCCGAAGCCGTATAGACGACGCGCAATATTCCTGCCTCTGATATTTCACGCAACTGGTGGTATCGGACATCAATGTGTTTAGTTCTCTTGTGGAACTCGCGGTTTTTAGCCAGGCGAATTGTGCTCTGGTTGTCAACAAACAATACTGTCGTTTGTTCGCATTGATGTCCAATGCCGGCCAACAATCTTCTGAGCCATACAGCCTCTTTCGCTGCAGCTGATGCAGCGACATATTTCGCTTCCGTTGTGCTCAGAACTACCAACTTCTGTCTCTGAGAGGCCCATGTTACTGGGCCGTTTGCCAAACTAAACAAGTAACCCGTTGTCGAGCGTCTTGTTTCGAGATCGCTCGCATAATCCGCGTCTGAGTACCCGATCAGCTGTGGCTCGCTTCCGTCGCTTTGATACATTATACCTACGTCTTTGGTTCCGACTAGAAACGCGAAAATACGTTTAACCGCACGCCAGTGATTCTCGCTCGGTTTGTTCAAGAATTTGCTCGCGGTATTTACAGCAAATGCTATGTCCGGTCTCGATACAGTCGCAAGAAACATAAGCGATCCCACTGCTTCGCGGTATGGCGCATTGCACAATTTTTCCTCGTCTGACTCTACTGGGTGCAGTGCGACGTTTGGATCTGCAGGAACTGACAACGCTTTAGCCTGACTCATTTGAAAACGCTCAAAAATTTTTCGCGTATACGCGCCCTGGTGTACAAACATCGTTTTCTCGACGCGATCGCGAATCATTTGCAGCCCGGCAAAATTACTACAATTACCAATTGTAATTTCAAACTCGCTTCTTAACTTATCAATCACTCCTTTTAACGTGGCTCGTGACTTGCTCGCTACAAGTCCATCGTCCACGAACATCGCAAGGATTATTACACACCCGTTAAAGTCACTGTAAAAGATGCACGCGTCTGCATCAATTTGCACAAACTTATATCTTTTCAGAAAATCACAGAATTTGCGATTCCAGCATCGCGGCGCCTGCTTCAAACCATACAGCGACTTTCTCAGTCGGCACACAACCTCACTTACGCTTTGTCCGACTTTCAAGCCCACTGGTATCTTCATATGAATATCTTCCTTGAGGTCGCCGTATAGAAATGCGGTGCGCACATCAAATTGCACCATCTCGAGATCTTCTTGAGTGACTGTTGCCAACAGCACTCGCAGCGAATCGTAACGAACGACGGGGGAAAAGGTCTCCGTGTAATTCACGCCCTCTTCCTGGAGGAATCCTCTAGCACACAGCCTTGCCTTGTATCGACGCACGCTTCCATCCGGGTCTTGACTGACTTTAAACACCTACTTGGAGTCAATTGTCTTTTTCTATTGATCTCTCGGTACAATTTCCCAAGTACGATTCACCTCGTGTGCCTTAAGCTCTTCTTTAATGGCTCCGAGCCACTGATCAGCGTCAGGTCCACTTACCGTCTCCTCATAATTTTGCGGCACGTTGTACTCAGCGAAATCGATGTAATCGATCAACCAATTCGGTCTCTGGAGCTGCGCTCGATTTCTTAACTCACGATCTTGGTTAGCAGGTGCTGCAGGTGGATCTTCTATGCGGTGAACGGCCTCTGCATTCTCGACCGGCGGTTCAGCCTCGGCATCCCTGTTATCAGCTTCCTGCTCTGCGCCGTCTCGTGGTTCTTCTTCTTCTTCCCTCGGCTCGGCCAGCTGCTCTTCTTCTCTTCTCTCCATCCACTCTTCTTCGTCACTTGAGTCGCTCGAGCACGCATCTCTGCTGGTACTCTCGCGAAAAACCACATTTCTGGATACTGTTATTTTCTTTGTATCTGGATGATACAGCCGGTAGTTTGACGAGTCCCCGTCATATCCCACGAAGATTACTTTCTTCGCTCTGGCATCGAATTTTCGGGTAAACTGCTTCGGCACGTGTTCGTAGCCTTCCTCGCCGAACGCTCGCACGTGTCCAAGATCTGGTTTTCTACCTGTCCAAATCTCATACGGCGTTTTACTGTCGTCCTCCCCAGTTGCCGAAATTCGATTAAGCAGGTACACCGCAGTGTTGACTGCTTCCGCTCAAAACGAAGTCCCAAGTTGTTTTGCGTGTAACATAGTACGCGCGCACTCCACTACCGTCCTATTGTCCCGCTCGGCTCTCCCATTCTGCTCGGAAATATACGGAGCCGTCGTCTCGTGCTTTATCCCGCGCGACTGCATGTAGTTACGCATTGTCTCGTTGCAGTATTCGAGTCCATTGTCGGTTTTCAGGACTTTCATCGTGCGACCGAATTTATTTGCCAACGCGCGCTCGACGATCCTGAAGCTCTCAAACACATCAGACTTGTGTTTTACAAAGAACACCTGTCTAAAACCCGAGGCATCGTCCTTATATAGCACGAAGAATCTCGCGCCGCCGATTGATTCCTCCGACATAGGCCCGCACACGTCGCTATAAATAAACTCACCCGGTTCCCGACTCACTCGATTGACAATTTGTTTAAACGGTAGTCTGTGCGTTTTCTCAAATTTGCACGCGTCACAGAAGAAGTCTCGTTTGTCTCTCACCTTTACTCTGTTCACCATGCCGCTCGACACTAACACGGACAATGCACGTTTGTTTAAATGCCCAAGGCGCTCGTGCCATCCCTTCAAACTTGTTAGACTCGTTGTTGACACGTTAAGGATGTATTGCACCTATTTTCAAAGCGCTAGCAAGTGGATAAAAATTTGTGAGAATGTTCTTTTAGTCTTCCTGATGTGCTACAAAAAAGTAGAAACGAATCCACTAAACGGTTGCTGAGATATAACGATTTTAATTTTCACTGATTTTACACGTATTCTTATAGGAAGAGACGATTTTGGCGGATAAAACAGCTAAAAAAATGTTGAAGGAGCGCTACCAATATTTTGAATTTTTTTGTACATCTAGTATACGAATAGATAAAAATATCTGCCAAGTTTCAATTGTCTTCACTACACCGTTTTAAAGAAATAAATTATAACTTGAGATAATTGTGCTGTCGGCACGAATGTATCTCGATGGCTCGTGAAAGCGCGGCAACGTCGTAATCAGCTGGGTAAGCGAAGCATGACCTGCACATAACCTACGGTTGTCGCTACACGTATACAATATATGCCTTCTATTACTTCTAGCTAATTTTTTGTCTCCGTTGCACTGGTGAAGTGATAGAAATGGGAAATGAGAAACATAGCGGGATTATTGTAAAAATGTAAACGAACAGACATAACCTCGCAGCTCGCACCAAGTCTCGCACTGTTTTGGTACTGTGCAAGGCTGCCAACCTACGTGAATCGTTGTTACGTCTCTTTGAGAGAGTCGCATAACAATGTTTATAATAAATAATATTCAAAATTATCGTTTATATGATACATATTTATCTTTTTTGACATTATTAAAGTCACATTTGTTTATCAGCACTGCTGAATAATGTCTTTTGCTTTGAAATAATTTGACGTTATGAAGTTGAAATCAAGGCAAATAAAGCACTCGATGTCTTTCTTTTCTTTCTTCTTCTTTTTTCTCTTTGTTTTCGAGTCCTCAGAGGTAGATGTTTTCGTGACCTTCACCGCAGCAAAAACCGTTACCTCTCCCGCATCGGCGCTTAACCGGCTTTCCTCTCGAAGCAAACGTTCCTGGAGATTCTCGATTGTTTGCCTCGCTGGCTCAACACTGTCCCATGCAGTATGAAAAGCTAAGAACTTCGCTGTTAAGCTCGCCAACACCTTTGCCATGATGGTCACGTCCGACAAATTCTCTCCTAGATCCATGAGCTGCGTCGCCATGTTCTGCACCCTCGCCACGTGCTGTACGACCGTGTCCGTCGGGCCCATATGCGATACTCGTGGAACTTTTGTGTTAACATCAGCCTGTTCGACGCCGATTTCTGTGCGTAAATTGTCCCCAATTTGTCCCACATCTCTTTTGCAGTGACACAGGTCAGAAGAGGCTCGAGCTGCGAATATTCCATCGACGACGAGATAAAGAACATGGCCTTCGCATTGTCCTTGACCCACGCCTTTCCTTCCGCCGATGTTCGATCATGCGGCTCTACTCGATCCCCGTTCACGACGTCCAGTACGTCGTTTGCTAAGAAGATCTGCGTAACCTGGAACTTCCAGCCGAGAAAGTTCGTTCCGTCGAACTGGACATGCCTCGCCGACAATTCACTCGACATTTTTCACACTTTGCGTTCCTTAGCTCGTACACGAATTGCGCGGGAAAAACTGTCTTGCACAATGGCCGCCTCCCTGCAACCACACGACGCGTACCGTTTCTCGCCTTCGCTCAACTTTTCTCTTTATCTCGAAATACTACGCCACTGGGCCCATAACCTGTTG